TTTCTTTCTCGATGACAATCCTTTGGTAACAAGAATTATTCAATTACTGAATGTACGGCAAATAGTTGCAGTTTTCATATTAAAGCTGAGTTATCTAAAGTCAATTTCAGAATTCCAAAGTAGTTTCTAGAAAAAGGAAAGATTGAATAGAATTTGAAGGGAAGAAATGAGGCATTTAACTCAACTCAGTGCATTCACTTTTAACACCTTTGATTTGTATTGAATTAGATGTAGGGAAAGTTACTCTGCCAATTCGATTCAACTTAGGGATTAGCGAGTGCGCCTGAAGAAGACATGAAATCGCCACAATCGATGTTATGAATATCATATTGACCATCTTTCGAAATAGATGATATACTTGTTAGGACAATCTTTACATTTTGTTGCAGATTTGAAAATCCTATCTTGTGAATGAGTTGATCTGTTCTCAAAATCTTTCCTCAATAATCATAGTTCAGTCACAATCTATGCATTTAATAAATCTGCCATGAACTTCTAGTCAGTTCGCGAATGTTCAACAATGGTTTTCCCACCAAATGACTTCCGAATCGAACCTTACTCTATTTCACCTAAATGGTTAATCCTGTTGCAAAATGGCATTAATGACACGGACTTTTTTCCAGTGAACTCTCAGATCAGAAGTAATTTGTCCTTTTAGGAAAGTCCGCATTTGCCTTTAAAATGAAGAAGAATAAATGCACACGATGAATTTACTGATTCATCAATCGATGATTAATCATAAAGTGTGCACATTTTAAATTACTTGATTGATCTAAAACCGGTAAATGTTCGTTATTATAAATTGTCATTATGGTTCCATCTGTCTCGACACTCCATATTTCGTGATCAAAAACAGAAATTAAAGATAGCAATTTGTTTGATTGTTTCTTTCTCATTTTAAGTGGACTTCTAGCAGTTTATAAGCAGTCGAAGCACATCCAGTTACTACTAACACTTTATTCCATTGAAGCAAGAAATCACTGATGGGGATCGAAACAGCGTCGACTTTTATGGAACTATTTAATTGAAGAAAGAATTATTTATACACTTTTGGTTTCTGTCGTATGTGCAAGATCTTTGTCTATCAGGAAAATTACTCCTTCATTGAATTATTTCCTTAATTAACTTAACTGTTGGTAATGCCTGATTTACTTAAACAATTTAAGTAGAAACTGTTAATTTGCATACTGGTGGTGAAACGAAAGCAATTCAAATAAATTAGACTCACGAATAGGCATTATTCGCTATTCCTCATTTTCTAGAGAGTTGCAATACTCTTGTGGGACACGTCATCGCACGCCTGCACGCCAGGATTGGGAAGTGCGACCGTAAAAACAGTGACCAATCATTAACCTCTGTTTGTTTATCCTAATCCCCCATCCTGATCATGATTAAGCTTCCTGCGTGTACACTTTATCCGCAACATACGTCCTGAATAAACGTGCTCCGTGCTACACGTCTGTTTCCTTTATAGCTGGGCTATAGCTTAGCTGGTTCCGGGAGTCTAGGTAGATGTTAGAGAATCTTCCATAGAGATTTCTCAGTCAGTCAGGCTTTACTAAGGTAGCAATCCGCTAAAAGCTTAGAGCTAGAGAGAGAGAGACTGGATCATTAGAAATAAGGCTTTTGTGATTGTTTCTCCTTTTATTTACAATTGCTATAATGACTTTTCGACCTTTAAATTTACAATCTTACAATGGTATATTATTTTGATCCATACATATGTTCTTATAAATATCCGAGTTAAGGAAGGGGGAATGGCATTTCTGTCGCTTCTACGACCTGCCATTGATTATCTCAAAGAAATAGAAAATAGTCGCAAAGTATTTGCTTTGAGATTATATTAAGAAGTATCAGAAATGTGTGATATTTGCAACTTTTTATTTTCTGAATAAAAAATTGAGAGCGCAATTGCTGCAGTGGATTGAACAGTGTTGAAAGCCTTGTCTCAGAGGTGAAATAAAAGAAATTGACATAAATTTGATTAACTTGTGAGTTCTGGGAAGTGGCGTAGTGGTCATAATATTTCGCAATTGAGTGGGAGAAAGGAAGCATCTGAACAGTGTCTTAAAGTATGATGCAGTTGATGACGCGATTCACAGTGAAAATGTGTTATATCGACTGAAGAGTAATGTAGGCTAACTCGTAATTAGATAAGTTGGAAACATTTCCAGTTGAAGAGGGAATGAAAATATGTCCAACTAAAAAGCAGCAGAAGGAGGAGGAGGAGGGGGGGTGGGGGGAATCCAAGTTTGGTGGAACGTATCGAAGCTCTTTCCAAATATGCTTCTGAAATCCAGGACAACTACCCGCAAAGAACAGTTGTCTTCCCCAGCAACTCAACAGATCTTCTTCACAAATCCTTGGTTGGTGAACTTGAATGCGGTTTCGAAACCCAAGAAATTTCAAGTCCAGAGAGCTTGGATAGATTGAAGCTGAGGATAGCACAAGAAGCAGGAATTCCCTTTCCTAAAAAATCTCAAGGAAAGTAGGTTTTGCATCATAAAATTCTGCCTTCTTGGCTCTTCTTTCTATTTCTCAAAGAGAGTAAGTGAAATTATTCTCTCAATCCATTCCATTGAAGGATTTTAAATGCAAATAATTAGGTTCCATATATCACACTGAATGCTATGGCACTTGCTGCGTGCAATAGATCCTGGAACACCTTGAAATGTCTATCTAAAATGCTTTCACAACACACATGAATGCTCTAGAGTCATTGCTTTGAGACATATGTACTTAAAAGTTTTTTTTGCCTATAGCGATTTAGTGAGAGTGACCATTCCAAAGAGAAGAGGCGACGCATCCAAAATTTATCTTGTGTTGTTGACGAACCTGCTTTGAGACATATGTACTTAAAAGTTTTTTTGCCTATAGCGATTCGGAGAGTGACTTGCCCAAAACGCAACACAGAAATGAAACTTATGCAAGCTTACTTTGAAGTATTTGAAGCTCCCTTGTGTTTCCCACACCTTCATCCACCACACTTTATGGGACTTGCCACTTTCTGACCTATCACTTCCTACAACAGCATTGGTCTCAAAAGTGGTGCATTTGGAGATAAATTCAAAACGGCTGATTAATTCAACGAAGAGTAAATCTATCCCTCATTGATACCTTCTTTCAGGTTGAAAAAAGAATTTCGAACTTGGAAGCTTCGTCCTCCAAATTTGAATCGGTGGAAGGTTCTACATCGACTTTTTGTTGGTGATAAGGAAGGAGTACTTGTGGCACGGGAGTACAGATTTCACAAGTGCTTTTCTCTAAAATGACTTGTATCCTATCACCCTCAAAACCCTGCTTTCTCCTAATAATGAATGGTAAAGTGAATCCATTTCAATGTCATTCTAGTCATAAACCTCCATCTCAAATATGTCATCTTTTTCTGAAGGACCCTCAATGTGATTCACGTATATTCTGCTGTCACGACACACTTGATTACAGATACAAGTAATTCCTATTTCAAGTGCGTTGCTACTCTGTCCCCCTTTAGATTTCTTGGGTGTCGCAAGAAATGAATAATTTGCATTGCTGCTTACAGGTTCTCCGTTCATTTGAAGTGTGTTAGTAGAAGGCAAATTATTAGTCGAAAACCTTGAGCAAACAATATCGAGAGGTCTTTAGAAATTGAAATTAACTCTAAGCTAACAATAAACTTTAATTGATTAGAACTAAGAACAACTTAGATTAATTAAGAATACTTTCATGGGTAGACGGCCTTAGCATCTGCAAAAATTATTAAACGTTTCGTTCATCATTGTCAGCCCCTATGAAGAGCTCTTCTTCAAAGGCTAATTTTTATATTTTTAATTATGAATGTTAGGATCTATAGAAACGCACGATTAGTACGAACAAAATATTAACAAATAACTAGCAATCGAGATGAAACGAAATTGTAAATGCCACAATAATTTGTATTCGAATTCAATTGATAATTTAGTTTCCCATAACACAATTGTTTAAGATTAACATTATCTTAACAAATGGTTAGTTAATTATCTAGTTTTTTTTATTGTTTTATAAAGATCGAAATGTGCGAATCATCGAAAAAACCCATTGAGAATTTCCAAAAGAAATTAAATTAAGTAAAATTAATCTTTATTGAAATGTGCAATATAAAAGGTATGAACAATTACATATAGTACTTAAAATAAAATACGTATGCAATTGAGTAACTCATTCAGTAGTATAAAATAATATGAAAATCAATATTCCATAAAATAAAGCTTAGCCAATATTAGATTAACCGTTTCGAATTAAAGGCTTTTAAACTGGAGTAGAAATCCAGTTTAAAGACTTTCGTATAGATACTTAACACAAACTATGGACTACGCTACTTTGTAAATATTATTATTTCAATCTTAATATATTTTAAATATGGATTTAAGGACATACAATTTCAGATTTGCTCAATGATTCTTCACGTACAATGTGTTGGAATTGTTTCAATATTACGTAAGTCACACAAGTGCAGATATTCACAGCATAAAAATAAAATTTCAGTATCACTATTTGAGGAAAGTGTGTGCGGGGAAAATCTGAGAATGATTTAAACTTATGTTTATTATTATTATAAAGATTATTGTTATAAGCATTATTGGCTGTTGCGCGCATTTCGGATAATTTAGGCTTTGTTGTGTTGGGTGAGGTTTCATGTTATGGACATAAACCAACAGTTCTGTCGAAAGATTGTGCACAGAGAACCCAAAATTGGCGATTTTTTCTTGACTGCGTTGTGGTTATGTTGGCGTGGGGTACTCACTGGAAGTTTAATGATGACGTTGAACGTCGTCTCTGCTTGATCCTCAGTATTCATGCTTCTCTTTGACTGTCTCTTACGGCCAGAAAATGATTACTGTGGATAAGGAATAGAGACTCGTTTTGTTGTTTGTTGTCATTGCTGATGACGTCAGAATGAGTGAGTCTCAAGCGAATAGTGAGTGTTGCGAATGTTTGATAAAGTGCTAACTTGTTATGGTTAAAACGATGCTTATTTGGCTTTAGGTTTGTGCTCTTGGCATTACTGCTGGTGTAAAAGCTGGATTCTTGTTTCCGGTTGCTAAGTGGCGAAATGTGAGTAGCTGGCCCAAAAGGCTCTCATCGGAGAGGACACAGTCCTTCTCGAAGTTCCAATGCGGCTCGTGGGGCTTTATGACACCTCGAACCTGCTCGTAGTGTACCAGATAGTCACGCTAAAAACCATGAAATTCTCCAAGGCTTTTGAAGGTATCAATGTCGGCGGAGCATATGCTTGTTAATAAAAATAATGATGAATATAATTTAAATTCTTGTTTTACTCTTAAAAATTGCAGTCTTAGGTGTTTTAAGTGTGGCCTGTAGTAGTTGCTTTGATAGGCCAATTGGTCGAAAGTTGATGTTCATTCTTAGATTACTCGTTGTCGATCGATTTAGCAAGGGTGTTGCTAAGCTTATTTTGTTGAGAAGTAGGTCAAAGTGCATTGTGCAGTCGGGGATATTTCCAGTGTCTTTTGCTCCTGTCTATTTTAGTCACTAACCTCACTTGGAGTTGCTGCCTCAATTTGGCAAGAATGAATTTCTCTCCTGTTCTTGAGTTTCGTCTTTGAGCTTCAATGTGGTTTCCTCACTTGTGGAGTAGACGCATTCCATGTCATAGTTAACTTGGCGTAAGCATAATAACTGTGGTTTTGCTCCGCTCCTTAAAATAGTGGATCTGAATGTTGAGTGAGTGTCTTAGTGTCTGATTTCATTTCGATCCACTCACTCCTCATAAAGTGGTATTAGTTGTGTAATCGGTGGTGAGTTGATTCGTGTTCGCTGCCTTAGCTCTTATTCAGTTATGTGGTTGGCGATAGAAGA